TTTTTTTAAGAAGCCCACGATGTAACTGTCCTGGTATGTGCACATAACCTTGGAGTTAGGCATTCTGCACCATTTCTCCCATTAGAATGTATTGTCAAATTCCTATTTTCATGAAAAACAAAACAAGATGTCAAAAACCACCTTTAGGTATTGGTATCATGGTACAGTGAGTTAAGCTGCTGCTGGGAATGGCTATATCTTAAGTGCTGGTTCAAGTCCCTGCTGCTCAGCTTCTGATCCTCTTGTCTGCCAACGTGCCTGGGAAGCCAGTAGAAGATGCGTCAAGTACCTGCACCCCTACACCCACATGGGAGGCCTGAATGGACTTCTGAACTTTTACCTTTAGCCTATTCCATCTGCTACCATTGCTGCCATTAAGGGAATAAGTCAGTGAATAGAAAATCTCTCCTTCTTCACCCTGGGTAACTTCACATGTCAAATAAATATATTCTTTGTGTTTATTTGAAACAGAGACACACATATACAGAGACATAGTTATACAGAAATAGACACAAGGATCTCCCATCCATTAGCCCATTCCCCATGCCTATAACACTGGAGGCTGAAAACATGAGGCAGAAAATCCATTTGAGCTCCCAAGTGGGTGATAGGGACCCAAGCATTTGAATCATCATTTGCAGCCTCCCAGACCGTGTACCGGGCGGCAGCTGGATTAGAAGCACAGTAGTAGGACATGAGCCATGCTCTCCAATATATGGAGACAGGTGTCCCAACAGCCACTTCACCTGCTGTGTCATGACACCTACCTGTGTACAGCCCAATTCATAGCATGAACAACAGAATACTAAGATTTGGCTTTACAACTACTCAGGGAAAAAAAATCTACTTAAAATAAATCAATGCTAAGTTCCCCAAGAAAAAAAAAATCTATAAATTCGTTGGTTTGGGACACCAACTGTAAATTGAGTTTAGTTTCAGGGTCATTTCTCACATAGTATTGCATTTTATTCATTTCTGCATCCATCCAAACACTAAATATGATTCATAAGCCATGCAAGGCATGGATTTTGGTAGTGAGTAGTCAAAGGCTGGACAGGAGAGAGCTGATTTCTTTCTGGGGTTGCTTCCAGTCCAGGGCACAGGGACTAGAAAAGGTGAAGCTGAGTTGGTGATAGGGTCAAAGGAAACATTCCGAACTCGGTGCCTGGAAATTGGCCGACTTGGCTGCTTTGAAGGTTCAAATCGTTTCTTTTATGGCCCTAGATAGTAATGCGTCACTCCCTTCCTCTCCATCCTGCCCTCAAGTACTTCTCTTGGGGTTGATCCACATCCAACCCCTGACATGTGCTACATTTTTAGTCCTTTCCCTTCTCAGCTTTGAGGTGATAACTGGAACCTTGAAAAAGGAAAATGTCGCTTTTGTGGTTGAAGCCACAAAACCCTGATGTCACCTTATCCCTTGGGCTCAGCTATGTGGGAATGAAAGTGGAGTGGGAAGGCAGGGACCACCAGTTTTAGTTAAGCAGGGGCAATCTTGGGAAACAGAATTCTAGGACATAGAAAAGCAAAGCAAGACAGCACACATGGTCAAGGTTACTGTTGATGTATGGGGCATCTGTGAATCCTTGATAACAGGGCCTACATTTTCTTGGACAGATTTACTTGACAAACCAGTCTAGGATGCCATGGGCATTTGGGGAGTGAATCTGCAGACAGAAGCTTTCCCTTATTCTCTCAAAGTATAAACAAAACACTAAAAATTTCAACAAAGGGCCCAGCACGGTGCCCTAGTGGCTAAAGTCCTCGCCTTGAAAGCGCCAGGATACCATATGGTCGGCAGTTCTGATCCTGGTGACCCCGCTTCCCATCCAGCTCTCTGCTTGTGGCCTGGGAAAGAAATCAAGGATGCCCCAAAACCTTGGGACCCTGCACCTGCGTGGGAGACCCGGAAGAGCTCCTGGCTTCGGATCAGCACAGTACCAGACATTGTGGTCACTTGGGGAGTGAATCATTGGACGGAAGATCTTCCTCTCTGTCTCTCCTTCTCTCTGTATATCTGACTTTGCCATAAAAATAAATAAATATTTTAAATAAATAAATAAACAAATAAATCTTACAAACAAACAAACAAAAAAAGCCTGGAAGGGGTGAGGGCCAGTCAGGAAAGGCTACTGTTCCTGCTAGGGCAAGAGGGAGACTATATAGACCTATGGATCCACCAGTATGCGTGAGATCTGGCACTGGGAGAGATTCTGATGGAGAAGCTTGGGCAATTCATCTACAGAGACGCAGTTCTTGCAGGTGAGCGCAAGAACCAAGAAAAGGAGCAGCCCAGACCATGCCAGGTTATGGTACCCACAGGCTCAACTTTGGCTCAGGTCTGGGGTGAGCCAGACTGGGCCAGTCCATATCACCCAGTGGCAAATCTGAGAGGCCGAACGGTGTGTGGATCATGCCAGTTGGGCTGCAATAACAGCCAGTTCATATTAGGGCCAGGACTGGGGGCTGGTTGGGCTGGGCTAGGCTGTAGTCCCCACCAGTGTGAGCTGGAATTGGGGACGGGCAGGGCTAGGTCAGGCTACAGCACCCACTGGCAAATGCCAAGATGAGGCAGTTTATGCCAGATTGGGCCTCGGCACCCAACTAGCACATATGAGACCAGAAAAGAGTGAGCAAATCTGGTAAGGGGGCTACAGGGAGAGTCCCTGCTGGGTCACTATTCTTACTGGTGAGTGTAAGAGCTGGGATTGGGGCAGACCAGGCCAGGCAGGACTACAACACCTGTTGGCCTGTATGTAAGCTGGATCAGAGACAAGGCAGGCTGAGCGGACTGTACCTACTGGTACATGCATAAGTCAGAATGAATGAGGGTTGGTTGGGCTTTGCTGCAGCAACAGCTAGCAGATGCTGGCATGGAGGGTAAGGGGGTTGGGAGTTGGGGAGGGTAACTCTGTCAAGCTAAATTGCAGTTCCACGTGGAGAGTGCATGATCTGGGAGTGGGAGTGGGCACAGTAGGGAAACAGACTCCTAGCTGGTCTGTGTCAGCCAGTGGATTCTGGAGTGATTTCATCGTGCTTGGAGTGGCAAGATCGGCAGCAATACACTAATGTTGAACTATCAAAACCGCTTGAGCGGGATCCTCAGATCATGCCCCACATCGGGGTCCCTTGGGTGGTTGTGAGGGTGGTGTGGCTTCTCCCCTTATATACCCCAGATATAGGAAGGAAAAAAGAGAATGTGAAAACAATGGCCACACCCATTTTCCTCTAGCTTTTGACCCTTTGCACCCTAATCAAATATGTAAAAATTATCAAAAATAAAATTTATACAATTAAAAAAATGTACTGGATAGAGATAGAGGGTGAGAGAAACTCCCATGTGTTGTTGGTTTACTTGGGCTTGGGAAGCCAGAAGGTGGGTGCAGAGTACCAAATACTGCAGCCAGTGGCTGAAGCCCCCTTGGGTGCGCCTTAGCAGGGAGCTGGAATCTGAAGTGGAGGTGGAACCGCGACTCCATCCCAGCCATTCTGATAGACACGCAAGCCAGTTCTCAAAGCGCTGTCCCCACCACCCATCTCCTTATTTTTATTCGATTAGAATTAGACTGTGCTTTAAAAGCACACCATTATTCATTTTCATACCCTTTAAAGCTCTAGAATGTAAGGGATTAATTATCGTCACTTCCTCATCTAAGCCTTCAGACGATTTCCTAGTTTGGAATACCCCTGCTCATAAATACTGCTAGGTTTTTTTGTTTTTAATTCTAGGCCATTTCACTCTGCAAGCACTTTCCCTGGAATACTCCCAAGGCGGCGCGTGTGGTAATGTCAGACCGACCCCTTTAACCCGATCGGGAGAGCCGGAGAGTGGCACCTGTTAAACGTCCCACCAAGGGTGCACCAGGGGGTATGCGAAGTTCCTCAACAGCACTGGCTTAAAGTCACCTCTTGGAATCTCTCCTGAGACCGAGGATGAACAAACAACTTGCAAACCAGCGAGGAGTGAAATAAACTCCGGGGAAGAGCATTTGCAGGCCGGCCTGGGGCTTGTTTTGCAGGAGGTCAGCTTCCCAGCTCCGGCCAAGGCTCCCTAGGACTTGACGCCTGGTACCCAGCGCAGCATCAACCGGGGTGGGGGCCGAGCGCACGATCCCGGCGCGCCGGGGACCCCCCTCCCCACCCCGTCGGCGTCCCCCGAGCTGCTCGGAGAATTTCCAGACTGCACTGACACTGCTGTCCTGGGCCAAGGACCAGCTGCCGCAGTGCCTGCGGGAAGGACGGTTACAGATGCCGGGTCGGTCCCTTTTTAAGTTAGAGACCTTACGCGACTCTCTCGGCTTCTCTTCCCTCGTCTATAGTTTTTTTTTCCCCTGCGTCCCCGAAGTTGAACGGTGCGGGTGGCTGTCGGAGGCGGGACACGTGCGACACGCAAAGGGATTGCGTTGAGCGTCGGTGTGCGGAGGACCCCAATGCCCTGGTCCCCAGGGACACATGGACACCGGTGTCCCCCACGGGCGCAGGGGCAGGCGGACAGCAGGCGAGCAGCCTGTGGCTCGATCCTGGAGGGTTTGAAGGGTGGAGGGGAAAGGAGGCGACGTGGGCGCGGACAGGCCAGCTGGGTGACCGACAGCGTGGCCAGCCACTGGCCGAGGGCGGCTAAGGGCCGGCGGAGGGCGCGCGCGCGAGCGCCAGGGGCGAGCGTGTGAGCCTCCCCAACCCCCACCTGTTTGCCACGGCTTTCAAATGCCCAAAGCCAGGCTGCCCAAGTTTGCAAAGTTGCCAACTGCGGCAAGTAAAACACGGGCGCGACTTCTCAACCCCAGAAGGACGTGTACGGTCGAGAGCATTGAAAGACAACATCGAGGCAGGGGAGAGGGTGCGCACAGATGGAGAACGGGACCACGGGGGAAGGAGGGCGCTTCTGGGGAGGGGGGCGATGGTCGGCGTTAGGACCCAGCGGGCAGCACTCGGAATCTCTGCCTCCGGGGAGGAGGGGTGGGGCGTCCGGGCCGGCTGGCGGCCGCGGGGCGCATGCGCGCGCGTCTCCTCAGGCCGGCCGCTGCGCTCGGCGGCGCGGAATAGAATGAACTCTAACAAAACAAGCCGAGCCTTTGTATCTGCTTAAAGGGGCCGCGGGCACTTCTCTCCGGTCTTCTCCACCCCCGCCCCGGCACCGCGTCTCCCGGGCTCCCGGCAACTGACTGGAAGGGCTTCCCTCGCCTTCTGGAACAGCCCGTCCGCCCGCGAGGAGGAGAGGCGAGCCGGGCGGGAGACAGAGACGGAGACGGCACATTTCTAAAAGACAAGAGAAGGCAGGAAGGAGAAAGAGAGAGAAGCCAAGCGGCGCTGAGTGGACTCTGACCCGGGAGAGCCCGGGCCGGCGCCCGATCGTGCCCGGAGAGGCACCGGCATGCAGACAAAGCTGGCGGGCGCGCGTGCGGGGCTCGCGGGGAAGCCCGGAAAGTTTGTTGGGTGATGGCTGGAGTGCGCGAGTGCGTGCAGGGGAAGCGAGCCTGCCAAGTTTCCCGCTCGCCCTTCGCTCCCTGAGGCGAGATGTGCCTCCCGTGAGCCCCGCAAGACGCCTCGGGACGGGGGGCTTGTGCTGCAGGGGAGGGGGGCACCTGTCTCCGGCTTTCTTCTCGTCCTTTATTTACTGATTTTGGGGGGTTGGTTGAGGGAGAGGGGGAGGAGAGGTGTTAAGCAGTCATCATGTCGAAAGTGATCCAGAAGAAGAACCACTGGACTAGCAGGGTTCACGAGTGCACCGTGAGGCGCGGACCCCAGGGCGAGTTGGGGGTGACGGTGCTGGGGGGCGCCGAGCACGGCGAGTTTCCGTACGTGGGAGCGGTGTCCCCGGCGGCAGTGGTGACTGAGGCGGCGGGGCTGCCGGGCGGCGGCGAGGGCCCGAGGCTGGGCGAAGGGGAGCTGCTTCTGGAGGTTCAGGGGGTCCGGGTGTCCGGCTTACCTCGCTACGACGTGCTCGGAGTCCTCGACAGCTGCAAGGAGGCCGTCACCTTCAAAGCCGTCAGACAAGGTAAGCCCCCGGCCCGCCGCGCTTTCCCGCCTTCCCCTTCCGAGCGCCGCCCAGGGGGAGAGATGGGGCCCGCACGCCCTGGGAGGGGGTGAGGCGCGCAAAAGTTGGGGCGCGTCGTTCTTGCTCACCTGCGTTGCTCTGGGCGGCGGGGAGACTTTATCCGTTCTCCCCCTCCACCCCCCGCCCCAGGTACAGCGCAGCCCGCGGGGGAAAGCTGGCTGGGTAGGTGGGTTAGGGGAAGTCGAGGCAGGGCTGAAGGTGGGCGCATCCCAGGCTGCTGCGGGCTGTGAGGCGAAGCATGCGGTTGTTGTCGCCCAGTGTTGCCTACTGACCTAGGGAGCCGGTTGCCTGCGTCCAGCTGTGGTGGGGTCGCTGGGAACGACTGGTGATGACCCCAAGCCGGCCACCTAGGAGGCTGCGCTCACCACCCGCCCCGGAGCTGGGCGATGCTGTGTTTGTATAGTGTGGCAAGATCATGGGCTTGGGGCGCTGCTGTCAGCCCCACCATGGGCACTTCTGATGGCCAGAGGGTTGGCTACTGTTCCTTGTTAGCTTACTCCCGGTGCTCAGCTCTGGGTGGAACGCTTAAACTTGCAGTATCTCCTTCGGATTCATAATTCGGAGTGGTTCTTATAAAACTCGTATTACAGATAAGGAAACCCCGGACTGAAAACTCAGTAAGCGGCTTGTCCAAGATGACGCAGGGACCAAAAGGGAGGGTTGGAGGCCTCACCTGCAGAGCTAAAGGAGGGGGGCAAGAGCCTGGATGACGGGATGATTGGTGAGGGAGATGCAGGAAGCAAAGTCAATCCCTCCCGCCCCCGGCTGTGTGCAGAGGCGTGCCACCACCATAGGGGGGGGGGGGGCCTGGGTTGTTCCTGTGGGTGCCCAACACGGGTGACTGGAGGCCTTACAGGGGTCCCAGGAGCCACCCAGTGCAGTGATGCAGAGCCTCCTGGGGAAAGCACCCGAGGAGGTGGCGGACTGGAACGTGGTGAAAAGTTCCCATATGTTTCCATAAGGGCAGGCAGCAGCTGGGGGAATGTGTCACAGGAAAGGAGGGCTGGGCTGGGCCCCTCTTGGAAACAGGCTCGTTTCAGATGACATGGAGGTGGGGGGCAGGGGAGACAGCTTGTCCTGGAGGTAGCTGTGAGAGCTGAGAGGCTTTCTGTCACTCAGCCAGGGAAAGCTTTGTCCTCTACTGAGCACTTCCTCCAAGAAGTCCTCCAGCTTCCCCCAAGGCGAACAGATTCTGCCTCCTGTGAATTCCTTTAATGTGTGTCTTTTTCCCTCTTACTTTCTTTCTCTCTTCCTTCCTTTCTTTCTTTCCTCCTTCCTTCCTTCCTTCCTTTCTTTCTTTTTTTCTTTCTTTCTTTCTTTCTCTTTCTTTCTTTCTTTCTTTCTTTCTTTCTTTCTTTCTTTCTTTCTTTCTTTCTTTCTTTCTTTCTTTCTTTCTTTCTTTCTTTCTTTCTTTCTTTCTCTCTTTCTTTCTTTCTTTCTTTTTTTCTTAACCTGACTCTAAGCTGTGAGCTAGTATTTGTTTCTAACTATCAGTAGCAGGAGGGAGAGTCTGGACCACGTCCGCTGCACATCTCCCCAGCCTTGGAGACCCAACACCTTGCCACATCTGGAAGTGGACTGCCGTTTCTGCGCTATGCAAACCTACATGAGCCAACTTCGAAAAAGTTAAAGGGAGGGAGAGAGAGAAATAGAGAGGGAGAGATCTTCCATCTACTAGGTCGCTCCCCAAATGACTGTGACTGCCAGGGCTGGACTAGGCCAGTCAAGATCTGGGGCCCACAGCAGGGTCCCAGGGCCTTGGCCTATCCTCTACTGCTTTTCCAAGTGTATCAGCAGGAAGCTGAATCAAAAGTGAAGCCGTGGGGATTTCAGCTGGCAGCTGTGGGCAACTTGCTCCACCAGGACACCCCACCCAAGACTGTTCGATGTGCTCACGAATGTTTGTAAACAGGCCTGAGTGTGTGTGAGAGAATCTACTTAGAAGGCCATAGAGAGGGCCCGGCACGATAGCCTAGCAGCTAAAGTCCTTGCCTTGAATGCATCAGGATCCTGTATGGGCACTGGTTCTAATCCCAGAGGCCCTGCTTTCCATCCAGCTTCCTACTTGTGGTCTGGGAAAGCAGTCAAGGATGGCCCAAAGCCTTGGGACCCTGCACCCATGTGGGAGACCCGGAATAGCTCCTGGCTTCAGATTGGCACAGCTCCAGCCATTGCGGGTGCTTGGAGAGTGAACCATCAGATGGAAGATCTTCTCTCTGTCTCTCCTCCTCTCTGTATATCTGCCTTTCCAATAAAAAAAAAAAAATCTTAAAAAAAAAAGCCATAGAGAGAAGACCGTGATTGGGAAGGTTGAGCGGCTGCAGTCTACTGCATTGTGAGAACTATTGGCATGTGATCATTACCCAGACATAGTTAACCCTTCTGAGCCCCTGATTATCAATAAACGTGCCTTTGACTATTCCCCCAAGCTTTATTTCTTCTCTGTTTCTTCCTGGAGATTTGGTTGAAATAGCAGGGCAGAATGGCTCTGGCTGTCTCTTCTGTGTCTTGGTCGTCTCTGAGATAGGCTCTTATTTGATGTGTGGAAAAGTGTTAGCCGTGTGTTGCATGCTTCCTGAGTTAGCCTGTCTCAGTGACACAGGGCACTGTGGGGATGCTGTCTGTGTGGAAAGATCTAGTGAGAAAATATTCTGTTGTTTTGGGTTTCTTTCTCTGGAGAGATGCATGGACCAAAATAATTCAGAATAGCAAATGGTATTGTACGAAACAGGATTGCACTGTGAAGGAGTCAAACTAAATGGATCTGTTGGATTGAGATGGTTTGTTCTTTCTAACTTTTTATTTATTGAAGATTTATTTATTTATTTATTTAATTGGAAAGGAAGATTTACAGAGAGAAGGAGAGACAAAGATCTTCCATCCACTGATTCATTCCCCTCTGGCCATTCTGCAGTGGCCAGAGCTGAGCTGAGCTGATCTAAAGCCAGGAGATTCTTCAGGGTCTCCTACGTGAGTGCAGGGTCCAAGGCTTTGGGCCGTCCTCAATGGCTTTCCCAGGACACAAGCAGGAAGCTGGATGGGAAGTGGAGCAGCTGGAACATGAACAGGCATCCGTATGGGATCCTGGGGTTGCAAGGCAAGGATTTAACCATTAGTTCATTGTGATGGACCCATTTTATTTTGTTTCTAAAAAGTTGTGTTTATTTGAAAGGGAAGGTGACAGAGGGAGGATTGGAAGGAGGGAGGGAGAGAGAGAAAAAGAGAGAGAAAGAACTTCTGTATATTGAGAGAGAGAGAGAACTTCTATATATTGGGTTACTCCCCAGGTTCTTGGATTAGACAAGGTTGGACCAGGCCAAAACCTAGAACCAGGAGCTCTATTCATAATCTCCCAATTGGGTCACAGAGACCAAATACTTGGGTCATCTTATGCCATCTTCCAGGCCTGTTAGCAGGAAGCTGGACAGGAAGTGTGAATCAGCCAGCACTTGAACCAGGTACTCCTATATGGGAATGCCTGCGATGCAAGTATATCTTAATGCACTGTGCCACAGCACTTACTACCCAAGTTGGTTCATTTTCAACTGTAGAAGGCAGTTGTCTTTTGTTGTAAAATAAGGTAAAAATTATGTATACCCACAAGGACACATATTGCATAATGATGTTTTGGTCAGTATTGGAGCTCATAGATAATGATATTCCTCTAAGGTTTTGTTACTCACAGCTGTTGTAGCTGTCTTCATTTATGCAGCTGTATGCTGGTGTTTCTGCAATGACAACATTGCTTAGTGACGCATTTTCCAAAACTTCTCTGTTATTGAGTGACACACAACTCTGTGTGTATGTAAATACACTAGTATATTAAGATTCGTTTACCTGTAGTACAATGCACAGATCTTTTTTTTTTTCTTTGATGATTTATTTATTTATGTGAAAGGCAAAGGAGCATGAGAGAGATCTTCTATCTACTGGTTCACTTCCCAAAAGGCTGCAACAGTCCTTGCTGGGTTGAGCTGAAGTCAGGAGCCAGGAACTCTAAGCAAGTGGCTGGAACTCAGTTATTGGAGTCATCACCTGCAGCTTCGCAGTCACATTACCAGAGCACTGACTCAAAAGTGGACCTCATGGACTCCAGCATGCACTCCATTATAGGCTCCGGGCATCCCAAGATGGGGCTTAGCCTGCTGTACCACATTGCCTGCCCGAAATGCGCAGGTGCCAAGAAGTTGAATGTTGACAGTGCAGATTTTTGTGTTATCACCCCTAAAAGTCATGATGTCGAACATTTCTTTTACTTCAGAAATTTCCTTCCTGCCTTTCCCAGTGAATTCTTTCCTATCCATTCCACAGGTAAAGCCTGTGTAATTTCTTTTCCATAAACAAGTTGATCTGTTTTTGACCCTTATAAAAATGAAGTAATGTGATATGAAAATGTGTATGTCTAACATTATTTTGAATTCTCAGGATCTTTGGGAGATTCCAGGTTGTGTGTATTGTTGATTTGGTTCTTCTTTGTTGTTGAATGGTATTCCATTGTCTACAAATATCACTTTGTACTTTTGCTTGGGTTGACATTGGGATTGTTTACCATTTTGACTGTTACGAATAAAGCTGCTATGAATGTGTACTTACTCAATATATTTTTGTAAATAAAAAGATTTATTTATTTTGGGGCCCGGCGCGGTGGCGCAGTGGTTAAGGTCCTCGCCTTGCACACCCGGGATCCCATATGGGCACCGGTTCTATCCCCAGCAGCCCCGCTTCCCTTCCAGCTCCCTGCCTGTGGCCCGGGAAAGCAATTGAGGATGGCCCAAAGCTTTGGGACCCTGCACCCGCGTGGGAGACCCGGAAGAGGCTCCTGGCTTCGGATCGGCCGTTGCACTCAGAAGATCTTCCTCTCTGTCTCTCCTCTCTGTATATCCGCCTTTCCAATAAAAAAATAATAAAAATAAATCTTTAAAAAAAAGATTTATTTATTT